TAAACTCACTTAAGGCACTGGGTTTCAAGAGTCTTTCACCAGAGCTTGATCCAACATTGCGGGTCTGAAAGTTATTCTTGTTGATGAAGGTAGTGGAAAGTTGAGTAGGAGTAGAACAATGTGCTTTTTCTCCCTGTTTTCTATTGCCATTACACCATCTGGCCCTGCAGCAGGTCTTTGCCTTCCTTGTTCTGCTTCCTGCTTTGAGCCCACCCCACACCTCCTCACTGTGCACTTTGGCACTTTTCACAAGCCGTACTTCCTACTAAATGTTTTAGCATTCACGACACTGTGAATGTGCACAATTCTTCTTAATTATGAGCTTGTCCACTTGTTTTGTGTGTCTTTCTCAAATCTGAACTGAGTTCCATGAGAGTCACATCAGCATCTTTGCTCATCACTCCAGCTTTTTTTAGGCTGGGTTATTTACAAAGATCAGTAGTTCCTCAAACCTTTTTTTTTTTTTAAGTATATATTCAATTTGACTGGGTTCTAAATGGTTTTGGATGCTTTTTTTAAAATGTTTTATTTTATCTTATTTATTTATTTTTGGCTGCGTTGGGTCTTCGCTGCTGCACGCGGGCTTTCTTCTAGTTGAGGTGAGCAGGGGCTACTCTTTGTTGTAGTGCCTGGGCTTCTCATTGCGGTGACTTCTCTTGTTGCGGAGCAAGGGCTCTAGGCACACAGGCTTCAGTAGTTGTGGCTCGCAGGCTCAGTACTTGTGGCTCACAGGCTCTAGAGCACAGGCTCAGTAGTTGTGGTGCATGGGCTTCGTTGCTCCGCGGCATGTAGGATCTTCCCAGACCAGGGCTCGAACCCGTGTCCCCTGCATTGGCAGGTGGATTCTTAACCACTGTGCCACCAGGGAAGCCCCACTCAAACCTTTTAAGTCATCTCTATGTTATAGCTGAAGTCACAGACTTACACCAACCTTTAACGGAACTCTTTCTGAAATGACTTCCCAGGTCTAGTTTAAATGTCTGATACTCTTCAGGGGACGTGGATAGCTTCTCTCAGTTTTCTCAAGGAAGCAACGTGGTAGTGGAAGAGGTCTGAATTCTGAGTCAGGACGTTGCTTAAAGCCTGGACCTGCGCAAATTAGCTGGCTGACCTTAGGCCAGTTCCCTTAATCTCTCTGACGCTAAGTGGAGATAATCACGCATTACCTCACAGAGGTAATCTCACATCTCACAGTCATGAGATAAATAAATGAGATGACGTACATATTAAGTGCCTTGAGTGATATCTGATACATGGTGAGTATTCAGGAAATGTTTGTTCCTTTCCTCTTTGCCTTTCCCTCTCCAGTCCACCAACCTGTTATCACTTGCTTTTCATAATTCATTCAGCGTAGAAGTTCCTCTCATAGTTTTTTGTTCCTTTGGGGAGACTCCATATCCAGCGAGGTAAGTAAGAATTTACCAAGCTTCTGCCTTTAGAGTGGATGAATCCAGCTGTCAGTTCAGTAGAAATCCCCCATCATTGCCACATCTTGCCTCTCTGCTGCTTTTGCAATCTGGGTCATTTCCTCCATCTGGTCAGGTGTTAACTCTAAAAAATAGTTAGCAAACACTGAAAACATTTTCAGCTCTTTGCTCTTCATTCTTCTTGCGTTTAGCTTTCTGTTCCAAACTGCAGTCATCTTTTGCATCATGGGGATATCTTTTCTCACTCTATACATAAGTCAATTCTGAGGAACCTGGATGGAAAACTTTAATGGAAAAGCCAAAACAGAGTTCCCTGAACAATGCTGGAATGCTGAGGGACTAATTTGAGCTTGGTCATTTTGAGTTGGGACCCTCATCATCACTAGCCTTCCTTCATTTCCAGATTCAGAGCTAAGCTGAAATGCTGTGCTTCCTCAAATGCTTCTTTGACTTTCCTTACTTCCTCCAGTTAAAATTCCCACCCTTTTGGGTTTGAATGGGGATAACCATTTACATTAAACAGTCATTCCTACATTTTCTACTTTCTCTTCACTATTTCTGGTTCACTTTCCCCCTGCTGCTCTGTCTTCTTCAAGGTGGACCTGATCTGGACAGCACAGACCACCTTTCCTGCAATGTCTGGAACTAAACATCCCTCTTGGGCAAAAATATACTTATCAGCCTGTGGACCAAGTGTGCATCACCCAGCTGACAGGGGAGGTAGCAGGAAATGGAGGAGCGGAGCATATGCTCCCATCACTGGGTGATTTGTTCAGTCTTAAGGGACAGCCTGTTGAAATTAGGCCACACTAAACCTCACCTACTGACTGAGTTTGTTTCTCTGGATTTTTCTTTTAGGTCAGACCTAACCCACAGCTGGATTTTTAACATCCATCATGTCATAACATATATACACATTCTTGCTGATTATTTCAAGAGGACTTATGCTTAGTGCTACATGTTTAAGTAACAATCGAAAGTAGCCCTTAAAGAAAGCTGGAATTTTTAATGAACTTGTTTTGTTTGCAGATTCTCTATTAAACATCTTGAAGACAAAACCCCACACCCACCCCTACTCAACTTACAGTTTTTAGCAAACTTTCAAACATTTCTTTTAGTTACTGACTGTATTGCTCGGATGATGTCACCATTCCAACAAAACACAAGGTGGACTCCTATCTGATGAAGGATTCAGAAATAAGTTCTTGAACTTATCAATGTAAATGCCATGGTCTACACATCCTCTGTTCCCCAAATACCAGGATCTGTTCTATTTTTAAAAACTGAATTCCATTCCTATTCAAGTGCCCATCTCACATGTCAGAATGACTCCCCATTTTCAGTCACTCTTCAATCTCTCCTTTTCATGTCAATTTAAAGTTAGTCCGTTTTTTTCCATGACAGTAGGCTGCTAAAGTTTATGGGTTGTCTGGGAGCATCAGCAATGGTAGAACATAACGTATGCCTTGTTTTATTTGGCAGACCAAGCCCCAAGACAGGCCTTTCGCTTCTAGTGGCCAGAATGTCTACAAAACAGGGAAGTATTTATATGCTCAGATTTTGGAAGGTAGAGGGAGGCGAGTTGCATCAGTGAACAATCAAAGGTCAAAGCTGGATGGGATGTTTTGTTCCCAGGCTGCATCAGTTATACTAGGTGGAAGCACACAGAGGCTTGGAGGAAATGGGCATGGAACTCCCCACCAGCTCATGCCAAGTGGTGACCAGAACAGATGCAAGCAGCCCGATAAGCTCAGCATCTCACAGCAATGGAAATGTGGAAACTAATTTGGAAAGAACTGGAGTAGAAAGGTCAGGAGGAAAAAAAGCCCGCATCTCTGTGTGGGTGAAAATATGTCTGAGAAACTCCACTCCAAGAAATATGAAGGCAAAGGGGGAATGTCTTGGAATCCAAAGGGAGACGTTTTCGGTGCCTTGACCCCAGTGGAGTGTGGACTCTTGAGACTCCCTGAGCCTGAGTGAAGTTGTCCCTTACTGTTAGTTTATGCTTTCCGGTTTACTCTCGCTGTTTGCTTTCAGAAAGTTGAGAAAGGTACTGCTAATGGACTGTTTATGAGAGAACATCCTTTGGCAATGAAAAAGACAGGAAAAAATTTTCCCCTCCTGATAATTTTAGGATACTTAGAAAAACTTTGAGAAAGTCATTTTGAGCTGATTGGTCAATGTTCATTATTTCCTCCTCATTTAGTTTGAATGCTTCTCATGAATCACTAATATTTATTGAGTATTCGCTTTGGGCCAGGCTCATGGGAAGCTTATGATCAGCCATGGGTACCCAAGGACCAATAAACTGGGGATTTATGGGACCAAAGACTCAGGGAGGCAAAGATTAAGAGAAGAAATCAATAGTATTAACACGAATCTTAATATCGACACAGGATATTAAAGAGGGGTGGGATGGGGAGGGGAGGAACAGAAAAGCCTCATAACTTAGTAGCTTTCCTGGTCTCCATTTTCAAGAATGCTTTTAGTTTCTAATTGCTATATTGTGCCCTTTGAAAGAAAACTGCTACCTCCTCCAATCATGATATAATACATCCAGATTTTCCAATATTCACAATGGAGTAAGAATCTTATGTCAAAAGAGGCCATCGGGCCTTGTAACTCTGACTTGTTCCTTCTCCTTCTTGGGAAGTTTCTTCTAATCCTCACTGCTGCCACCATGATAGCCTCTGGCAGCACTGGTCCCTCCTAAAGGAGGGCCTCGTGCCTTCACCTCTCCCTGAAGAGCATTCAACAGAAGCAGTGAAAGACAGAAACGCTCTGAATCCAGATAACGTGATTTACAAGATGCACGTAGCATCTGGGCCCTCTGGGCTTCTTCCCGTCCTACCTCATGGCTTGTCTCCATGAGCTAGACCTCATCTCAGCACCCAGACCCCATGTTCCCTACACTTCTCCCCAAGGGAGCATTTCCCAGAGAGAGATAGAAGTTCAACATTTCTGCACAAGACCATCAAAGGTTAGTGATTAAAATCGGGTTTTGGAGCCCAGTAGTCTGGATTTGTGCCCTTGCTAATTCCACCACTTACTAGCTGAGTTCCACAGGTTTTCAGATACCAAATGACGATAATAATTGGATGGTTATGAGGATTAAGTGAATTAATACAAGTAGGGTCCTTGAAATAACCCTGGCAAAGATTTAAAGTTCAATAACATTTAGCTTCAAACTACACTTTAATCATCATATCAGTTAATCCACGAAAGCCTAGATAGCAGCATCAAGGTCGTTTTCTCATAGTTTGTTTTCTAGGAAATTTCCTAACCTGTAAAATCTTTTGTAGCCAGGTTCTGCTTAAGTCAGAACTTTCCTTAAGCACTGAGTGGTCATTGGTCCTCTGTTACAACAAACGTGCTATGAACTTAAAACGGCTCTAGAAAATAAAGTCTATTTTTAAAAAAGGAAAAAGTAACACAGATGAATGATTGAAACAGAAATCTCTTCCCCTTTTCAAAATCACTCAGATTAACTGTCTCAATTTTTATTTCATATTGATGATTGCATCCTGTCAAATCAACACAAGTTTAACGAGAGAAAGTCCTATGATGGGATGAAGTATCATTAACCTGGGGGTAATCCCAGCCTCCTCCCCTTCTCCCACCCACCAAAGATGGTCACTCGCCACTAGTGCCATTTTCCCCTCTGGTGAAGATGGGGTCTTTCTGACTGGGAGACTTTGTAGATGGAGATGCAGAGGGAGAGTGTGGGATGGGCAGGAGAGGTGAGCCACTTGAGGCTGAGGATGGAGAGAAGGTTTAGCACATCGTGGAGAGAGGCAGCACGTGTAGAAGGAGGGTTTCAGAGGAAACACTTCTACTTTGTTGTAAAAGTAGTTGCAGTTGTATATTTGAATCCCTTTCACATTTGTTTTTGTTTGTTTGTTTTTAACCACCCAAGTCAAGGATGAATGCAATCCTTCAAAAATTTCTTTTGGCCATCGGACTATATTTCTGCAAGACATCACAGTCTAAGAAAGCACAAGGAGGAACTCCAACATGCCGAAGGATTCAGAAATAAGCTTTTGACTCGTAAATCCAAACGTGATGGTCTATAGAGTCTCTGTTCTCCAAATTCTGAGACCTCTTCTTTTTTAAAATTTGAATTCCATGCCTGTTAGAATGTTTCTCTCACAGACAGAAACACCTCTCCATTTCCATTCCCTCTTTTCCCTTCCCCTTCCAGCTCAGCCTCTGCACTATCACAGGCTGTTTTTCCAAGAAATAAATCTGATGGCATTATTTGCCTTCCTTAGCTCCTCCATGCCTTCCTCTCTTCAGCAGTTTTAAATTCAAGCTTCTCAAATTTTTCTGACCTCCTACCACCAACCCTCCTGAAGCTCCCGACCCTACCCGAGCCCCAGAACACCACCAGCAGTGCCCCAGACAGGCCAGGCTGCTCCAGGCCCCGGGCCTTCTAGCCGTCTTCTGCTACTGTTTAAAATGTGTTCCCCATCCTCCCCAGTTAGAGAATTTCTACACGGACTCCCACGGAAACCTCCCTAGCCGACCACCCCTCGTCCACCTCTAGTCCAAAGAGGAGACAGCACTTCCCTTCATGGTTTTCTTTTCTCTCTGTAAATTCTGAATTTTGCTGTAAACATTAGCTTTTATCAGATTCCTCCATTCTGCTTCCAGAGAACAAGTCTGCACTTCACAGCACATGAACTCATCTCGTGGGGGTCCCTTAGTGATGGAGTGTGGAATAAACAAATGAATATATGCATCAATATCGTGCTGCAGCTGCTCCAGGTTTACTTTAAAATCGGTGTTTTTAAAGTAAACCTGGAGCATCTGATCTCCATTTCTCATTGCTTTTAACCCAAAGGCAAAAGTGGTCTGCAGAGACTTATTTTCTTTTTCATGTGAATTATTTTGTCCACTTTTTTTTTTTTTTTTTTTGGCTTAAACAACAGAAATTTATTTCCTAACAATTCTGGAGGATGGAAATCCAAAAATCAAGGTGTTTTCAGGGTTGGTTTCTTCTGAGGCCTTTCTCTTCGGTTTGTAGGTGTTCATCTTCTTCCTGTGTCTTCATGTACTTTTACCTCTGCTCATGCCTGTGTCCCAATTTCCTCTCCTTAAAAGAACGTCAATCATATTGGATTAAGGCCCACACCAATGGCTTCATTTTAACTTAATCACCTTTTAAAAGACCTTATCTCCAAATATTGTCATATTCAAAGGTGCTGGGAATTAGAACTTCAACATATAAATTTGGGGGGGGGCAATTCTGTTCATAACAACATCATTAATAAAAATCAAAATAAGACAATGTAAAGCTATTAAATGATACAGAAGTGGGCAACTGGGAGAAATATGTCTTCCAGAAAATAAAAAAAAATTACAAATGGCTGATAACATAATGATAATTTTATGTTACAATTTTAAAAGAAAGCATACTTTCATGTGATTATATTATTACTCTCTATTTGGTTATATTTTGTCCACTTTGACAATATATAATCTCACATTTGAAGATCGTTTAATGCCACGAAGCCATGGACCCACCTGGAGAGCCTCTGAATTGATCTGGGCCAACCTGGAAGTCACAAAAATATTTGTATCCTTACAAGAACTTAGGAGTGCCTCGTACGTGGTAGACATTCTCAGTATTGAGCTGAACTGACGCCTCAATATTGAGTTGAACTGGTGAGGCAGAGAGAGGAAAGGGGAAGTGTCGACCTGGAAAAACCTCAACTCTTGCTGAATGTAATTATCCATCTTCTCCATCACTGTCCTGGGGCTGCTGAGCACAGCTGGAGAAAGGTAACTAAGTCAATAGATTGGTCCTGCTATAATCTCTCAGGCCCTCAGCACTCCTGAATTTCCCTATGGAGCTGCGTTCCAATTCTCCACTTTCTTCAAATCTCTCATCCCTCTACTTCCTTAAGAGAAAATAGAAGTCGTTACATGCAAACCCTAGTAATGACCTACCACTAAAACATCACATTTTTTAGAAGGATGCTTTAAGTTGCCAGGATTGGAAAACTCAACTAGTTATCATCAGTAAGATAATTTTATCAACTCACATATCAACAGGTGCTGTTGCTGGGCCTCCGACTTTGGTTTGTCAAGTTCAGTGATGTCATCAAGTTCTCAGCCTTCCTCCCACCTCGCCTCTCAGCTAGCCTTAACCTGTCAACAGGCTAGTCCCAGTTCCAGGCATTACATCCAGAGAAGACAACCCTTGACGAAGAAAAATCGTTCCCAGCAATATTTCTAAGCCCCACAGCAAATTTCCCTTCACATCTGCTTGACTAGAACTAGATCACATGTCCATCCCTAAGTCAGCCCCAGGCAAGAAGAATGATACTTCCATGTTTGGCTTGTTATACTTAACTGAGAATCAGGTTCCCTTTCTTAAGAGGTTGATAATTGAACAAAATTGAAGGATAGGCCAACACCCAAATCCATCCCTCCTTCACTACCAGAAACTGTTAGTTTAGATGATGCTCTTTCCCTGCACATAGTATGGAGCTTGACTAATATGTGTTGAATAAACCAATGAATCTTGGCTCCTTGGCTTGACCCTGCCACTAACCAACTGTGTAGTTTTAAAAAACTGATTGAACTTCTCAGAGCCTCAGTTTCCTCTTCTGCAAAAGGAGAGATTTAGTGTAGCTTAAAAAGAAATATTGCTGGTTCTATTTCCATGACTCCTTAGCCAATGAAAAAGGTAGCCACACCTGAGGAGTACCTAGCCTGTCCAGGGAATGGCCGTGACTCTGGAAACTTGCAGAGACTGTCAGCAATGACTGCTACTAATGATAAGAGGCGTAGCAGCCACCTTTCTCCAAGCCCAGCCATGCCTCAGCAGGCAGCAGCTTGCCCACCTGCAAACCAGTTCTGGTTTCAGCTCAAGGGAGCAAACAGGCAGGGCTCTTGAGGAATGTTGCTCTGGCCCCATCCCGCCTGAAAAAGACCCTCTTGGGTCTTCTCTCCTGTCAGGTTGCTGCAGTTGGGAAGTTGATCTCCATAAGCCATTGTTTTCAAAGCACAGAGAGCTCTGGACTTTCCCAGGAATTCCACTGGAATGTAAACAATCTTCAGATCCGTGGCAGAAGCCAGCGGATTTCCTGAGCTGTCACAAAACCACACATGTTGGATCCTAAGGATTTGATATTTCTAAAAAACTTTTGAGATTTTTTTGCCTCTTTAAGTATAATTTTGTTTCTAGCTCTAAACCTATAATATGCCTGACATCAGTTAATATTAATTATCTGAAATGAAAGCGTGAGCCAACTGAGTAATAGGTCTGTAGTAAAGATGTCACACAAACAATTTTACAAGTTTCTTGACTCCAGAAACTGTTAGAAATACAAGCTCATCCAATGTCCACCTTCATATTGGCTCAGATGGAACACGGCAATCCTGAGTCTATTCTGTATTGAGTACAAATTCTCGTCCTTCCTTTGCTTGAAGTGCCTCTGCTACCCGGCACGGTTCTCTATAGAGTACTTCAGACATCGAGGACCACAGGAAACCTGGTACAAGCAGATTAATCCCGCGCTGTGTGTTTATGCTGACTGTACCTATAATTTTTTTTTTGCCTCTGTCCCTTAGATTCTCTCTGTGTCACATCATATCACAGCTCAGAAAGCACACTGCCTTTCCCCATTTCCCAAACACATTGGATGGCCAGATGCCCTACAGCCCTGCAGTCTTGTGAAAAGCTTACTTTAGAGATAGGAAGATCTGGATTTGAATATGAGTTCTGTCCTCTTTTAGCCCTGTGACCTGGAGCAAGTTACCTAACTCCTCTGAGAAGCTGTTTCCTCCTCTGTAAAGTGAGGATAATCATACTTCCCACATGGGCTGGTTGTGAAGATTAAAAGAGAAAGCACATGCCGAGCTTCTGAGCATGGCCTCTCACGAAGCCCTTGACATTGCTGGTTCTCTTCTCTCCTCTCTGCAGCTGTGCTTCCTGGAATCGCAAATGTGTCATGTGAGACCATCTAAAACAGTCCAAGAAATAGTCAAAATGTAAAGGCAACTTCATCCTCGGCCAGCTGTAAACTTACTAGAATAGTCTATCCCAGTAAATCTTTATCTGGTCCCTGACACGCTGTGGCAACTGGATAAAAAGAAATTCAATGAGGAGATGAGGTTATACAGATAAATGTTGACCACATATCTTTCCTTTCTTGGTTTCCTTTTCCTTTGAAATTTCTTGCAGCCCTCTGAGACATCCTGCTGTCACGTTCCTCTTTTAAAATGCTTCGTATCCTTCTTTCTATGTTGGTTGGCAGCTGTGAGCTTCATGATTTGGAGGGTGCTCATAGGCATGAGGCATGGCAGCCTCTGACTATGCGGGGTCGTGATTTCACAGACCTCCTCTGATTAATTTTTTGGTGTCTTCAGAAGACTCTGTTGAGATATAAATGTGGAATCTGAATAGTCTGGTCAAAGTGGTACACCAGGACACTTTGGTGGGGACTCAAGCCTGATGAAACTTTTCTGGTAACTTGGGCTCTCCGTTTCCTAGGGGCAGGAGTGAGCTAGGGGCTAATGGTACAAAGGAGGAGCAGTGTCAGTCCAGTTCCTATAAGGATCGAAAAGTCTTTCTTTGGATCTTGGTATTCTTTTCTCAAGCAGAGGGCTTAAGACAATTGGAGAACTAATATTCTAATGCATTTGTATCTTAGAGTAAGCCCCATCCTGCAAGAACAATGAGTGGCTCAGAGTCCAACCCCACCTGCTCCAACCAGATACACCTAGGAGTCTGGTTCAGACCAGATAAAGCCACCTTGGTGATCCAGATGGGCCCCATGTCAGGAGTCAAGCCTGAGGACTCCAGAAAGTTCTCATTCACTGAGAGGGAGTGAAAGGAAGGAAGAAGGGTGATCCCAGAGATGCCAAAGTCTGGGTCGTTGGGTGATCATTGTTTATAGGAATTGCTCAGCTGGGGGCCTCCATTTTCTATCACCCAATAGACCTGTGTGTCCTGCCTTGCTTTCTAGAGAAAAGAAAATCTCCATCGTTCTTTGGATATGAAGAGTCTACATCAGTGGTTCCCAGATTTTTGTTTTGGTTTTGGGGTTTTTTTTGAAGTGGTGGTAGTGGTAAATTGCTTTGGCATTGTTAAAATACAAGCATTAAGAAAACCCCCAAAACTCCAGATACATCTACAGTCATTATTTATTAATAGAGACAATATTTTTTCTCAAAAAAAAAAATGTAGAAGGGCCAGAAGGGCATAAATCTCAGGATAAAGGACAGTTTTTAAAAAGTAACTAATTCTCAAAAAAAAAGTAACTAATTCTCATTTAAGACAGCCTTTCTAAATTATCTTTATTTTTTAAATTTTGCTGTGGATTGAGGAAACTTCATCACAAATCAGAACAGAGAATCAGGAGAACCGAGTTCAAATCCAGACTCTGAAGCTCTTTATGTCTCTTGGGCAAAACACGTATTCTCTGTCCTCTGTTTTGTTATTTCCTATATGAGGGGATTATGTTAGTTGATTCCTCAAGGGCCTCTCAGGCTCTAACTTTCTTTGAGCTGCTATTTCTCTGATGACAACGTAGAAGGCTGAGATCTGTTTCTATCACTTCTCAACCACACGTTTTATGGAACATTTCATAACAGATGTTGTTTCATCAGTTTCCCCACCTGCAACCCAGCTAACAACTCCCTTCCTAGGATCCGTAAAGGCTTGTTATATTATACAAAACCCAGTAATTTTCCCACTAGTCCGGGAGTTTCCCAGGATTTTCTGCCAAAGATTATTTTGGCGTCTAACAACTTTTGGGAGTTTTCTGTCATCAGTATTATCATCAACAAAAAACATTCCTTAAGTTAACAAGGAAAATTACTGAATAAAGACATGATTATTTCGTGGGTAGAAGTGCAGACCGCATATGAAAGAGCCGCACTGTCCAAACAACATAAAAACACATCAGGGAGTTGGGATGCAGACTATGTGATTAAAACAGCAGCTTTGAGGATGACATATTGTCGTAGTAGTTAGTGGAGAGAGAGGCCAGCACCTCTCTTCTAATCAGTCCAGAAAGCGTCATCGAGAGAACAAGATTACATAAAAGACGGAGTAGGGGAAGGAAGGAAAAGGGAGACTTCATAGGACAGGATGTCAAAAATCGTCCCACAAACTATAGCCACACATTAGACTGGTTCTCTCCACTGGGGACGATATTGTACCTCAGGTGACACCTATCAATGCCGGGAGACATTTTTGGTCATCACAACCTAGGGTGCTATTGACATCTCGAGTTTAGAGGCCGGAGATACTGATCCCTGTCCTACAATACACGACGGCCCTGCAATGCACAGGGTGGCCCCCAACAATAAGAATTATCCAGCCCTAAATATGTGGGAAAAAAAAGAAAAAAAGAAAAAATTATTCAGCCCCAAATGTCATTAGCATCGAAGCTGAGAAACCCTGAGTTAGAGAAAACTTGGAAGTGAGAATGAGATGAAGAACCAGAGGACATTTAGCACAGGTGTGGAACACAGGACGGTGTTAACTTGGAGATGGAGAAGGAGAGTGTGGAGGCGCACTCCGTAATTGAAATCTGTCCACCTTCATCCTTTCTTAGGCTCCAAGATCAGCCTTAGGTCTGTCGCTGGGTCTGTTGCTGCCCAGCCAGCCGAACATGGCGAGGGGGGTGGGGAGCAGAGGCAGCTACTGCCTTTCCTCCTCTGCCTGGTGGATGTGCTGGGCTGAAGCCTGCTCTGAAGGAGGAGGAATGAGAGCAAGACTGAGGGGTGACGTCACCAGGCACGGAGGTTAGGTAGGCAGAGCAGATTTGCTCCCTCTAGGTGTACGGACCAAGGCCCTGTGCTTTCCTGCCTTGAGTAGCTGAGTCTTTTAGAACAGGGCCGCTTTGCTGCTGTCTGGATTTGGCACATAAAATCCCTGACCTAGAACATTCTGGGTAGTTAAATAAACCCAGGGTAGCTGGCAGTCCCAGTGAATTTTTCTCCCAAGTTCATTTCCTCCTTGTCCCCACTGCCCCCCTCCTCATTCCAACCACACTCACCTCCTGCTTTAATCCAGGAACACTCCTGCCTCAGGGCCTTTGCACAAGCTGCTTGCTCCCCTTGCTTGGAATTCTTCTCCCCATACCCACATAGCTAACTCCTTCACACACTGCAATTCTCTGCTCAGATGCCAGCATACCTTAACCACCCAACTCAAAATTACAACTCACTCTTCCACACACACTCCCCACCCCCATTCCCTGCACCCTTTCTTGTACAGCATTCACCACTATTTCCAATGCTATATGTAATTGTCTTAATCCGTTTATTCATTGTTTATCTCCCCCCATCTGAAAATATGCTTGAGGGTCAGAGATTTTAGTATGCATTGTTCACTGATAAATCCTAGAAATAAGTTGAGTACTTGGCATACACACCTATATACATATATATATATGTGTATATATATACATATATATACACACACTGTGTTTCAAATTTGTGTACCACGGCTGTTCATTCCATTGCTAGTGTGCTTTATGAATTAATATTTTAAATAAATCTTACAATTATATAATGAATAATACAAACTGCATTGAATTTGCTCATTAAAAATGATTTTTTTTTCAGTGTAAACATTTTAGATATACAATTTTGTTAACTCTCC